TGCTGGTAATGAGGTTTTTAATTACAAAGGTAGCCACAAGTAGCCTACTGCGGGCAGTTCTGATAGCTGCCTACTTTCTACAATGTAACAGTGTCCATATTACAGGCTGGTTTTCACTAGCGACAGAGTCGGAGTCGGAGTCGGAGTAGTAATCAGAAGCGCAGAGCTTATGATCTAGTGAAAACAGCGTTCCGATTCCGCTCACGACTCCGTCGCTTACGTTCCGCTTATGATCTAGTAAAAACCAGATTGCCCGAGTCGGAAGCAGAAGGAGAAGAACCAAACCAATCACAAAACGTGGGAACGTGTATTGTGATTGCTTTATCCTTCCGCTTCTGCTTCCGACTCCAACAATCTGGTTTTCACTGGATCATAAGTGGAACGTAAGCGATGGAAACGTTCTGATTCTTCTAACTCCGATTCCGTCGCGCTTATGACTCCGTTTACGACTCCGATTTTTGATTTTCACTAGGTCACAAGCCCTCTTACTACTCCGCTTACGACTCCGACTCCGTCACTAGTGAAAACCAGCCTTAAAAAAGCTTCAGGAGTAGACCCTGAGAACTGGGTAGGGCTCCTGATTGATCGTGCCTCAAGGAAAATCTGCTTCAGCCAATCAAAAGCACTACACAGATCTGGGCAGTGACACAACTGACACCAATATGAAATTTCTGCCGCGTTTGTTCCTCACTGACGTCATTTCGCAGGGAAACCAGTGGTGGCATCACGAAATGTTGTGACTGTTTTCTCAGGCTGTATAAACTGAAACTATTATTGAGTTGTTTCAATGTTGTTGGTTTAGTTAACCAACCCTGTTTGTCAGTTCTCCTTTTCTTAAAATTCATTCGGCAGATTAAAACAGTTTCCAAGTGGGTAGCCTGTGACTGCTGCACAGCTTTACGTAGTGGTAACTGAAAAAGATAATGGTTTGTTTGGCCGCACAGGTCATGATGGGAATTATTTCAACAGGAATCACGGAAGGAAAGGGTTGAGCTGGGGACCCCCTGGGGTAATGATTCCTATCCCTGGATATAGCATGTATCAGGCGAGGCTACTGCAACACAACACACACCAGGTAATACCTATTCGTGTCAGTTGGCGTCGCTTCGCGCGTAGTCTGTTCCAGGCGTTCAAATAGTAGAACACAGTGATTGAGTTAAATCGTACGCGGAGGAAACGAGGGAGGAGTGGGACGAGAGCGAGGGAACTCTCCCTCTCTAGTCTCTCCCATTTTTTTTTCCTCGTCAGTTTTTTGACCGCGCTCTATTATCTGAACGCCTGGAACAGCTGGCTACTTCCCTCGAGAAGTGACACGCGTGTTGCGTCGCATTTTTAGGAGTTGTTTTCACTATCGTTCACGCATTTTCCTCTACTTAACCTACGTAGCTGGCAGGTTTGCCTGGGAGGGGCAGCGGAAAGGAGTGAGAGGAGAGTAGAGTGCTTGCACACGCTTCGCTCGTGCTATCACGGCTTTACTTCGCTTTTCACGCTTGCTGACCAGTCTAACTAGGCATGGATCAGTAACTGTTAAGAAGAAAGAGACTTAATACTCTAGAAGATGGTTGTAAATTTGAATTAATTGTTCGCATTGCGAAAGACTACTACTGTATTTTCCAAGCAGATTTTCCATCTTTAAGAGCCGTTGGCGCGTGCGAGTCACTACTAGAAAAACAAAATATTACAAAACAAAAAACGCTTTGTGGTGTTTGAGCAAGTGAGCTTCTTCCCTGCCTGTGCAAAATTCGTTCAAGTTTGGCTGATTTTCACTTAAACCATGGTGACGGGCCGGTCGTACTCGGAGTCGTAAACGGGTTCATAGGCTTAAAGGGAGGAATCGGAGTGCCAAAACAAGAATCGGAACGTTTTTATCTTGCGACTCCGCTTACGACTCCGCCGTTTGCAGTGTAGTGAAAACGAAAGGAATAAACCAATCGCAATACTCGGTCCCAAACACTGCTTCATGTTGTGAAAGATTGATCTGTCGCTTCTCCTTAGTACAAGTGTGACAACCTTGTAGTTTTCCCTACTGACGTTGTAAGCGACGGAGTGGTATGCGGAATCTTCTTTTTCACTTGATCATAACGCTTTGCACTTCTAATTACGACTAGTGAAAACTGGACCAGCCTTAGCTTAAGAGTTCCCGAAACTATCCGTCAACCGGAGTAAATCTAAGAACTTGGTTCCAGTTTTATTGCAGCAAGAATTTATTACTTCAAACTTCGGCATTTTTCCTCAGAGACCCCATGAGAAAATTACGTTCTACTCAATTTTTTATTTATTTTTTTATCCTGAAGATATTTTACCTTCTTGACGAAGACAACACCTGGGGTTTGAATATGTCTGAACTAAAGAAAAAGCTGGATGGAGCAGGCCGCACTGTTTACCAAGAGCTCTCGTGCTGATAAATCCAGGCAATCCAACAGGTGCATTGGATGTTTATCGATTTGTAATTACGTGCAGTAATATTAATGCAGGTGATGATGATGATGATGATGATGATGGCAATGATAATAAAATTTCTATATTTACTCTCGACATTCTTTTAGCACACGCCTGCGTTCGAGCTTTCTTATCACGGGGTGACCCTTATCAAGGGGTGTTCGTTATACCAGGGTGTTGGCTATATAGGCGTTCTTTTTACCGGGGTGTATTTTTTTGCTCCTTTTTTGATGAATTCCTCCATATACCGGGATGTTCATTATCTAGACAGTCGTTAAACTAGGGTGTCCGTTATATGGAGATTCTACGTTAAACCGAGGTGTTCGTTATATCAGAGTTTAACTATAAAATGTAAACTTATTCTGTCCTTCGTTTATCCATTAACTTTAGTCACGTTTGTTTCTTATTTACATATAGGTGAGGTGTTGACGTATGAAGACATTATTTTCAAGAGGTAATCAAGTTTTGTGCTCGTGAGAAGTTAGTTTTATTCGCCGATGAAGTTAACCAAGACAACGTGTGCGCGGAGGGAGCGCAGTTTCACTCGTGCAAAAAAGTCCTCAGGGACCTGGGAGACGAGTATAGCGGATTTCAATTGATCTCTCTTCATTCCAGTGCCAAAGGGTACACAGGCGAGTAAGTTGTGCGTGTGTGTTTTTCCTCTTGTTTGGTTGTTTTTGCGGCCACCTTCGGGTAGTAGACAAAAATGATTTAGTGCCAATTTTGTACCCTTGGGCTCTGTTTGCCGGGCTTATTTGATTGTACATACATAACCACAGACAAACCATTATTAACCCTTGCTCTCCCAATTACAAATTATAAATTTCATTTTTTAAAATGCTTACAAACAAGTAAAACCACATGAAAGTATAAACAACGAGGTTTCATTTGAATTGTCACTGACACTAAAGGCCAAAGGATTTCGTCCACAGACTCTAAAGTTATTAAAACTTGAATTACTCATTCGACTCCATCATTCATTCTGCGGAAAGTTAAAGGGTCAAGGGGTCACTTGTCAAAGTTGCGGAAATACTTTTCTCTGAATTACTGATGAGAGTCGCAGTTCTCCTTTCCCTAGCAGTCCTTATCAAGTTTTTTGTATTTCCTTCATCGCTATTAAATGTTCACTTTGCTACGAGGTATTTTGCATGTTCATTAAAAACATTATTTTGTCTGTGGCTTGACATTTCCTCTTTTTTGGCGCAAGAAAAGGCAGGAAACACTCTGTGGATATTATCGTCTTGAGGTGGATTCTTCATCTTTACTTAACGGTTAACGGTCGGTAATCTCCAACCCAGATCTCTTGTAGACGAAGTCGAAGAGATCAACAAGAGGTCTGGTTACGAGACTAGTCAGTTGGCTATTGCCAAAGGTGACTGTCGGACACAAGATTGGTTGTAATCATGGATAAAAAATTGTGACCACTTGTGCAGCTTGCTGGACTTGCTTATCCCGCGAAATGGCCCTTATGCGAGATTACGGGTTAAATGAGCTGATTTCACCCCCAAGCCTCGTTTGTAAGAAAAATTCTTCGCATTTGCACTCTTTGCGCGTGGGTTTTCTGTTTGACTGTACTAACTTGGGAGAAAATTGATGCAAACTTCACCACTTTACAATTCCTTTTCCACGGAAATCTGAAAATCAAGAACTCGGCCTCACCAGTAAATGGCCAACCGATCATGAGTGCCAAAACAAACTTTTTCTATTAATTTTTCTCACAATAGGGCCTCTGAGCTAGTCATGATCACGTGGTACAAAACCGCCATGCTGGGGAGTTAGGGAGGGGCGCTCTGAGACAAGACACAAAGAACTCACTTCATTTATAATTGTAATTTCCTATGTTTTGCAGGGCTGTCATTAAGAGGCGGGGGCCGGGGATTTTCCCCGGTTGCTATGAACGTGGCCCCCGGCTACTTTCATAGGAAAATAGAAGAAAAATAGAACCAAAAGAGATCCCTAGCTGTTATATTCCCTACCTACTTGTCGCATTTACCCAGCAACTTGAAATCTTAGTAACATCCCTGGTTTCTCTTCTCCCAATGCGTGTCTCAGGTTGTTTACCATTTACACGGACATACCATTCGGTTCACGGTTTGGACAAGTGATAAGCAAAATTCAGTGCTAGTAGATGTCGTCCCGGAATCGCGTTTACCATTCGTACAAATCAGTTTCATTTACCGAAAAACGGCCGCGAAAACCTTAAAGTGGTATCAAGGGTTGACTTGAAGAAAAGAAACACGACCGGAAAAACAGAAAACCCTTTTCAGACATTCCTTTGCTCCCGGAAATTTTCCACCGAAATTTTTTGAACAGTCGTCAGGTGTTCCATTTACCGGTTCTTTCCGACTGTATTTTTGTAAACGGAACCAACGTAACCTTGCTCTCCATCATGGTGTTTTCGTACCATGCCAATGACAAGCTGCAATGGGTCAAATACTGGACTTTCTTCATTGCTGTTCCTTGCAGATGCGGGCTCAGAGGTGGATATATAGAGCTCGTAAGATTCAATGATCAACTCAGGTCTCGAGTTAAAACTTACCTGAGTGCAAGAAGTTGCCCTTCCACAATAGGACAGGTACGAATAATGTATGTCATATAGTGAAATGGGCCAGAGGTCCCTTATGAAAAGGCTGCCTCAAACCCTAGTCCACAATTTCCAGTTTGAATTCCTGGAAATACCTCAGTTAATTTGTACTTCTACGATGATTTATTAACATCTCCCAAGTCCTAGACAAGCGTGGCTACTCGTTTTTCTCTTTTCGTTATATTTGCTTTGTATGGTTGTTTGTTCCTGTTGTTGGTTTGTTTTGTTCTATGGTGGTCAGGGTATTAGGCAGTTAAGCAAAAAAATTGCAGTAGTTCAGATGTAACTTCATCGTACTTAGGCGTCTCTCACACTACGCGCAAAGAACGGCGGGGTGGTGAAAGATGGCTTTGCCCTCCTTTCTTACTCCTCCCATAAAGCTGCGCGCTTCTCTTATTTCCAGTCATTTGCCTTGTGTCGCCCGAGTCTCGAAGGGCATGCAGAGGAAGCTGTTAGTCCTTCATTGTAAGGTACTCAGTCTGTATTCATTACGCTTGGTTTCTAACTCAAGGTAGTCATGGGACTCACTTGCAATCCTCCCAAGCCTGGCGGTGAATCATATGAAAAGATTTCAAAGGTAAGCTCCCTAACTGTAACTTAACACAGAGAAACTCACGCGCCCGCGTGATCATAAGCAGCGCTACTTTATCGCTCGTGCAATTTTTTAAAGGGGCTCTGTCACGGCTGACTAGTTTATATAGTTGATAATGGCAATAACGAGTCATTATTCGCTATGGAACTTGAGAACTTAGTACTTAGTTGTGAATGACAAAATTAATAGCGTTGTATTATTCTTTTTTTCAGCTTGTCTCTAGTGCTCAGGCTGTAACTCGTTCCAGGTTTTAACTAAAATGTAATAATTTGAACAGTAGCTTTCCATGATACAGATAAAAGTAGTGAATAATACAATACTTAGTCAGGTGACGCCTCTAATGCGTGCCATGGGATAGCCGATTTAACAAATAAAGCTTCTTTCTCTTACCGTGGGTACCAGAGGTATTCTCGCGGGTGGCGGGATCCTTCGGCCCGCGGGCCGAAGCCACGAGTGGCGATAAAGTCTCTGGCACTTAGGACAGGTTTCCATTGATTCTTTTGCCCAAACAAAACGTGAGATTCGAGTCTTACAGAAGTAAAGTTTGCCAAATGCTTGAGTCGCTAAGGGACTAGGTCGAGTAAGCAAAAATTTCTATTTTCTCCCGGAACATTTGGCAATCTTCTTATAAATGTATAGAAAATGATCTTTAATTACGACGCGCTGTAGAAATCTATAGAAATGATTACCTCCAGTATTCCCATATCTTGCCTAAGTATTATTTTGTGTTTTATCTGTTTTACAGGAAGTAACATCCATCAAGAATTCTTACAGGAAAAAAGCAAAGATGACAAGGGAGGTTCTTAACTCAATGGAAAATGTTAAGTGTAACGAGGTGGCAGGTGCAATGTATGCGTTTCCGAGGATAACACTTCCAAAGAAAGCTATCGGGGCAGCCAAGGTATCATGTCCTGTTTCCGGCCCTGATTTCTAGGCCGCACTGCAGAATACTGTCAGTAATGGATATCCTAGGTGTACGGTAATCTGGATTCCGGAATCCAGGAATTTTTTTCTTGTAGACTGATCCGGAATCAGTTGAGGGGTTTTAAATTTGGAATTCAGACCTGGTTGTTCTTAAGATGGATAGCTCTATCCACCGGATAAATCACTATCCAGTGGATAGGTATTAGCGAAACCAATTGCACTATCCACAGCAGGATAGAGATTTATCCGTTGGATGGCGTTATCCAGGTTTTGAACAGCTGGGGCCTCCTCTATATATGAAGCCCGGAATCTCGCTAACGATTGGAATCTGGAATCCACGTTTCATGGACAAGGAATACTGAATCCAGTACCCGCCATCCGGGATCTACAGCATAAAATCCGGAATCTACAAAGTGCGATTCAGAAGCCAAGATTCTCGTTCATGCACCTTATATTAGAAGAATGCCAACCCGTTTCCCACCGTGTCAGTTTTCATAAAAGGCGTTCTTTGGTTAGAAAAAGTGAAAAGGACGCTATAGGCTCCCATCTTATTCAGGCTGCTGACAATGTCCTGCGAAAGTTAAAATTTCACTCTCTCAACTTTCCATGTTTCATTTATTGCTAAATTCCATATGTCGTATCGATCTAGTAACAGCTCCCAGTAAAGGCTTTATCGAGGGATTCTTTGAAATACAGATATTCCCCTCTATGTATGTGGTCTGTTTGGTGAGCAAAGTGAAAGGATTTTGGGTGGACAAAAGTAATGTGTATTTTTTTTTGAGTTTATTGAGTTGTTTGTATTGCCATTGATATTTAGGCCAAGGAAATGCCACCAGACGAGTTTTACTGTTGGCAGGCGCTGGGGAAAACTGGAATTTACATGATTCCTGGCCACGTTTGGGATATGAACGGCAGCGGTAACAACTGTTACTACAGGTAAGATTTGAATTAACAAGGACCATCAACTTCAGGTCGGAATTTTGATGATTTTAAAAACCTCTCTGTGATATCATTTGCGCCCTTGTATCACAAGATTTTCGTAGGCTTGTCTTATATATTTAGATTGATTAGATTGACTCCACCTTTAAATTGGAAAAGACGCCTCTTTCCCCCCAAACCCCCAAAATTCTGCTTTTGTACCACAGGAACACCAAATTAGGATGCGTTCTGACGAACGCAATAAGGGTATACACAGATCGGCCCATAGCCGGGGTGATGGGGGCTTAGTGGAGGGCCTGCAACTGGGATAAAGTTGGTGTTTACAAATAGAAGGGCTTACAACCGGGATTATACAGTATGGACCAGAGCTTTAACTTACGTGGGAAAAGGCGTCCTAAAAGCGACTTGTCTGTAAAAGCGACGTTCTGTCAGCGTATGAAAGTGTGATGATATTGGACCAAAACGTTTTGATTTTTCTGACCCACTATCCATATGAAGGACTAATAACTTAAAACGGTTTCATGTTTTAATCCTTCTTGGTAGGATCACTATTCTTCCTTCTGAAGAGACGTTCGCTCCAATGTTTGAGCGACTAAGAACCTTTCGCCAATGATGGCGCAGTTTAAGGACACGAACTGACAAGATGGATTTACTGGATTTAGTTTAAAGTGACGACAATATTCAATCCAGACTATTTGATAGGTCTCCATCCTCATTTATGAGGGGAAAGTTTTCTGATGTAAAATATATGTTTTAAGAAGAGTAACTCTTCTTTACAAATTTCTATTTCTCGAGAACGGCTAAATAGTTTTGATGACTCTTCATTCATCCATGATTTTCAAAGTTTTTCACTTGACTTCCCTTCCCAGATTTGGCTATCTATCATCTCTCAAAAAAAGACTCGGAAATGTTCAACAAGAGTGGCAGAAAGAGTCTTGAATGTATATGTCGCAAGCTGTATACAAATGTCCTTAACCACTCAACGAGGAAAAACAACATTCTTATAATCCTCTCCTAAAATTGGCGTGCAAAAAAAAGACACTTTTAACAATCTTCTGACTTTTCCCATCTTTAGGACACTGAAGTGTACTTTTCCCATTTCAGCATTTTTCTGGCCCATTCCCTGTGATATTCCAGACACAGATAAGAACGTAAAGAAATCCTGTTTACATAAATAGCAACTTTATTGAAGTGTCTTAAAATGCTGATTTTACTAACAGAGGTATTTTACCTTCAAAACAAGTCGCATTATTAAAGTAGATATTACGTTGTGAAATCACAAATTAAGAACTAAACAACTTCTGCGCTTATTAAATGTACATAATGGATATATTTCATGTTTTTCGACCACAATCATAATGACTAACTCTAAAAAAGGAAATGTAAAGGATATCTTTTCATTTTGGAGGCATACTAAACGTAAGGAAAAGATAAACGAGACTATACTTACGGGCTCTTATTTGACGAAATACTGTGGTTCAACTCATCAATGGTTTAGATTTTGTTTTCCTTTGTGTTGCGGTATGGTTATGTACGATTGAGAATCAGAGTTTAAAACAAAGGAAAAAAGCATTCGAACCAAGGAAAAAATTGCACCACAACATTTATTTACAACTTTTTTATTGAACTTTAAAGGTCGCAAAAATAGTATACAATCAACTACCGTTTGTTTTGTTTTTTATGAAGATGACGAAATCATAAGTTGGCCTCCAAGTGTTAAACAAAGTACATTAAAGCGCATGAAGAGGAATATCTCGGGCATTTTGTCTTCGTTGACGTTTAAATAACACCAGGAGAGCTTTCCTAAACTTTGGCATTCTGATTGTGTAAACGATGGGATTAACAAGCGAGTTCATAAGAAATAGAATGGTTAAAGAAAACTCCAAACGTTCAAATTCCTGGAAAGAAAGGAATTTCCCGATACTAGGTTGAGAAATAAGAAAAATAAAAACCGCATATGGTAGCCACGTCAGTAAGGATACAATAGTCGTTATGAATAATGTTACAGTCAGTTTCCTTTGTCTGTTGGCTGCTCCATGGTGCTGGGGATGCGCTCCAAACAAAAATTTAACAACAATGGAAGAGTAAGAAACACAGATAACTAAAAGACACAAACAACAGTATGATTGCCATACGTAATAATCATATATAGACAATTTTTTATATCGTAGAATTATTAACTCGGCCGTAATCGACATTGCAGTTAAAACCCAGACAGCAGCAATTGTTACCCCGTAGACCCACTTTTTGACCAGGCGATGCCTGAAGGGACGAATTGTTGCATGCATCCGATCTAATGAAATGACTGCAATGTTTGTTAGAGAGATCAGAGGAAACCAGAGGAAGAGAAACGCAATTATCACATTCAGTTCCTGGCTTAAGTTCATTTTCACAATGTCGCATGAGTCTAGTGAGAGGACATGAAATAGATGAAAGTGAGAAAATCCTCCAACAAACATATCAGCTATGGTCAGGCTTATAACTAGGTACATGGCACGAGTGCGAAGACTGCGGTTTTTTATAAAAACAATGATTGATAGAAGGTTCACTGTTACTATAGCAACACACACGGTAAGGATTACAGCAAACCAGGTGATGCACTCGGATGAAGAAAATAGCATGACTTGTTTTCTTTTACTCCTTTTCGCTTCACACTTTTACCCGTTCTCTTCTGTTGTTCGTCTACCTTTAGAAAGAATTTGAATTGAATAAAGTTTGATTACTTAGAAAAGAAAAGTAGGAGGTGAGACAAACAGTAATGAAGAGACATGAATAATAATTCGACGAATTAGGAAGCTCACCTTTAACTTACAGCTTTTCAAATTGCCTTCGCAAAAGCTGAAGTAAAAACCCTTGTTTTCACCTGTGGAAAAAATATCAGTGACGTTTATGGGGAGATTAGGACAAATTGGTTGACTAAAAGCTCAGGGCATTAAATTCGAGTCGTTTTAGCTGAATATTTTTAAAACTAATTAAAGTCAGCGCTCGTTCACCTGAGTATAATAATAATAAATATTATTATTATTATTATTAATTATTATTATTATGGTGGTGGTTTATTTACAGCATTTCCAAAGAAAATGGCTCTACATCTGCTCATAAAATATCTTATAGTATATCTAACTGATTTTTGGAAAATCAACCTAACGAAATTTGCAGTCATTTGACTGAAAAGGCGTCAAAAGGCAGGTTTCTTACGCCCGAGAACGGCTCCGAAATCACAGTAACGAAGGAAAAGGAAAGGAGAAAAAGAAAGAGCGACGGAGGAGATCAGGAAAGGAGGAGAAGAAAAAAAAGCAATGGTTGCACTCTTAGTTTTTATAATGAGCTACTGGATATAGTTTTTGGCCGAAAAAAACTGTTGGACGGAAAAGGTCCATTTGACGATAACGTTTTCAAAAATCCGGCTAGATATATACAGCTTAAAACATTATGTTATTACACTAGGAGCAAAAAATGTTCGTGGTAAAATGCAAAGGGTATTACTAACTAACTAGTTAACTAACAATCTAACTGTGGCTAAAATTGTATTTGAATCTATTACATCAATACTTTTTTAACATTTGTATTTCGCTCTTTAAAAATATTGAAGGTCTGTTTGGTATATAGGGAGTAATTGATCACCAAAATGAAAATGTGACTATCATTTTAGTTAACCCTTCTAAGACAATCAAATGTCCATAGTGAGACCGGAAAAGTGAAGGTCCACTAGATGTGCTAAATATAGGACTTTGGTTAAACATTCGATTTTTAAGGATTAGTATAATAAACATTTTAAGTAAAAACCAGACAAGAGCAGCAATTGTTACCCCGTAGACTCACTTTTTAATGAGGCGATGCCTTAAAGGGCTGTATAGGACGATGTTTTGCATGCATCTGATCCAATGAAATTACTGCAATGTTTGTAAGAGAGGTTAGAGGAAACCAGTCGAAGAGAAAGCCAGTTGTTAATCAGTTCCAGGGTTTATAATGTGTGGAAATTTCACAATGTCGCATAAGTAGGGTATACGTAGAAGAGTGAGAAAATCCTCCGACAAACATATCAACTATGGTCAGCTTTATGACCAGGTACAATTTGGCACGAGTAGGAAGACTGCGTTTTTTAATAAAAAGAACGATTGATAGGTAAGGTTCACTGTTACTTATAGCAACAAATGGTAAGGAATACAGCGAGCCAGGTGACGCACTTGGATGATATCATGGCTTGTTATTTTTTTCGCTTCACACTTTTAATTCCGTTTATCTCTCTTTTGCTTGTCTACCTTTCAGAAGAATTTGAAAAAAATTTGAATTAAGAACGTGGACAAAGAAGGTTGATGTAGTTAGTTCCGCAAAGATCACTAATGGAGATACATTAGGACGCTGATCGACAGTATCGGTTGTTGGGACAAACGGTTTAGTTTTTGTTCTACTTACATCTCTGCTGAAACAAAGGAAGTTTAATGGTGTTTTCCTGTTTTGTAGGCTATGAAGGTTATCATAAAAAGGAAACTCTTAATTTTGAACAGCGAATGGTCAAGGAACTTTGAGAGCTACTGATAAGAAAATATCATAGTTTTTCTACGTAGATGCGAACTATACACTGAAACAATTATATGCATGAAAGAAGATCATCGCAGTTATGGACGCAACTCAGTCCAAAAGGCTTTCTTTTCCCAAATGCAAAAGTTGCGCAATTTCACTCGGTTAACGGAACTGAAATTTCTCATATGAAAAAATGAAGAGAGCCTAAGTCGCTTTCAGCTCGGCTAATCCCTGTATTTAAACCTTGCGAGCATTTATGTGTAGGTATATACAGTGAGGAGCGAGAGCAACATGGCGCTGCTTGAAACAAACCACCATACCCAAAGCCAGCCTTCTCAAAAATCCTATTATAATCACTTTAGGATATCTTTTTAGATTTTTTTAAAGCTTTGCAAATGCTTTCTAAGAGGCACTATAAAATTTTTTGTTTTGTAATTCTAGAGCTCCTTTAGTCTATGCGAATTTAATACCTTCTTTTTATTACTGTTCTAAAAATCTTTGATACTTTTGTATAGTTTACTGAAAAGTCAACATTTTCCGATACCCCTTTCCGTTACTGTTTCTTCCAAAGGCGAAAATTTTAGTTTTCCTTTTTTGCGAATGATGACTAAACCTGGGAAGTTAAAGGTGAAAACTCCAAATTCAGAAAATCGTAGAAAATTTAATGAACTTAAAGCTTCAAAAAACTGAGGCGAATGGAAATTTTTTATCTAGAAATTTTTTTTCTCGAGCTATAGAAATTTCCAGACAATTCTGTGCCTCTTCGAATAGCTTTTTTACAGAAAAAAAATTCAACCGTTGCACCGGTCCCTACCACATGTTTGAAAAGCTCCAAAAGTCATATGAATGTCCTAAACAGTGAGGACTTAGGTTTAAAAATATGCGGTTCTTAAATAAATGCTCAACTCTATGATGGAGATGCATTTCCTTTCCTTCTTGTGTGTAACTAAACTTTCACAAAATTCTTTGCTGGATGCCTCCACAGACGAAGCGGAAAACGAGTTTGCAAAATATCAATTAGGCTTGTAAAAGGCTTCTGCGTTGGATGTTACTCCGGCGAAGAATAACGTTCAGCTCGATTAATACGGG